CTTTTGAAAGCTTCTGGAGATGCGCAGCTAATGTCATCAGAGATGATTTACGAGGAATGAGTAAGAGGGGAGCAGTTGTTCACCAGATGTTCGGCTGGTTTTGAGTTGCCATTGGCGCATCCAAATGGGGGTGATTGGAACAACAGGCCGCCCTTGAGACCCCAAAATGTGGTATTTAATTGACACTGGAGAAAATATATTTAACATGTTTTATTATCAACGTAGGGTGTTATTAAAAAACATGACATTTCTGGATTGAATAGATTTAGTATGTTGGAAACAAATGATTTGGTGGTGATAATAAAGAATCACCTACCGACCTCTCTGGACCCTCTATGTGCTATGAAGAAGGGCGAATGCCCTGAATGTCACGAATGGCATACTTTTCCTTTTGAGCCCATACGGTGCTTTTGACGAATGTGTTGAGTTTGCACATGAGCAGTAGTTCTGTTAAATCTGCTTCCATGGGCCATTCTCAAATGCAAAAGGTTGCACTGCCCTGCAAGGGTCCCGAATGGACAATTTGTTGGCTGCAGCCTGGTCACACACAACATCCCCACGATAGTGAATCTGTCCATTTGGATGAATTCCAGCTGTGGGATTTAAAACGTCAGGTTGATTGGCATGCAATGAGTGCTGTTTGCAGTGTTTATATAAAAAAAGAGTGAGCGTCTAGTGTGGATAAAGACACTCAAATTATTGTTTCAGCTGGAGTTATTCTCAAGCACAGGGTGATACACTGCGAACTGCGACCATGTCAAGTAGAAACGTCTTCATCTCATCGCATGGCACGGGTAAGCAGTGATGCCACGCAGTGATGTCACACAATGATGTCACGCAGTAATGTCACACACAGTGATGTCACACAATGATGTCACACACAGTGATATCACACACAGTGATGCCAAATAGTGATGCCAAATAGTGATGTCACACACAGTGATGCCACGTAGTGATGTGACACACACAGTGATGTTACACAGTGACGGCACAGTGATGCCACACAGTGAAGTCACACAGAGATGACACACAGATTCCAATCAGTGATGTCACGGTATGCTCTGCGCTCTGTGGCTCAAGCAAGCACTGTTAGCGAGAACCCTATGAAGAGCAGGCCAGTACACGAGGGGGTGGGTGGCTAGCACCACGCCCGAACGCCTTTGTCTCACTCGTGTCGATGTTCACACACCGCACGAGGTACACCAAGGGGATGCCCAGGACCGGTTCAGATATTCATCACTGATCTTGGCCATGAGCAGGTGTTGAACTCAGGTCGCCCGGTTCGGAGTACAGTGCGCAAACCACTGCGCCACCGCTCCCCATATTTTTCACAACACTGCACCGCATGTCAGGGACACGAGACAATTTAAACTCATTGAATCTCAAATGCGATACGATGCATGAATTGTAAGCTTCATGGTCAACATTAAGAATGGTTCCGCATAAGTCAGTGAGTTGTGCTATGAACTCCGATGGCGAGAGTATTCACTGCCGAGCCATGTATGCAGGACGTCGTGGGTTCGATCCCGATCCTGATGTCTATTTGGAGTTTGCACGTGCGCGGTTCGCCCACTAGGGGTGTTGAGTCGCCGCTCCACCAAGCAACTGGAGATGATACATTCTTTTTATAATAAAAAATACTTTTCTATAAATTGTTTTGTTGTGTTTAAGGATACATTATTATTCCAACGTGAATTGCATTATGAAGATAACATTTTAAGTTCATATCAGAAACCGCTGCAACACCACATTCTGATTTGTGCCTCGGGGAGGTCTCGGGGCGGCAGTGAAGGCGTCCGAGTGGAGAGATTTCCCTTCATTCATTTTGATTAGCTTCGTATTTTAGCCACGCCGTTTGAGACCCATTTAGGGCAGTGAAAAAGGCGCCCATGGCTGTAATGAGACGATGTCACAACGCAAGGTTGCACGGTGCAAATAGAGCAGGTCACGGCCTACACGCTCATGGCTTTTGGCAGTGTCAAAGGAGGTGTGTAGTGTGGACTTGAGGGTCGTGGGGACAGCATTTTAGTGCTTTGTTTTGTTTCGTATTGTTTATAAATGCCTACCGTTGGTAGATAAGACAGTTATATAACTATTCTTTGGTTATTTCGGTAAAGTCACGTAGACAGAAAAATGATAATAAAAAATTAAGTGAATAAAAAATAAAAACAAAAAAACCCACGAATGTAGACAGTAGCCTGGTTCTTAATCGGAGTGTACTGGCAATCTATAATGTAGACTGTAGCCTGGTTATTAAGTTTCGTGAGTGTACTGGCAGTATATAATTTAGACTGTAGCAATGGTTATTAAGTTGGGTGAGTGTTATATCACTTTCACGGGAAGGGCAATAACATGACGAGGTTTTTTTCTTAATTAGAACACCATCTTTTCAGAGGTCACTCACAAAACCCCCCCCTAGTGGAAATGGCATGAGCCGCCACTGAGTTTGCACGTTCTGCCCGTGGACTCGTGGATTTTTCTCCGGGTCCTCCGGGTTTTCCTCCACATTGATAATCAACGTGCGTTTAGAGTATTTGCTATACATTTCCACGTGATAAGCTACTTCGTTGAGCTATCATGTGTGTTTGCCAGGTCGCTTCTGAAAAAGAGATACACAGCTCAGTAGGGCCTTACCTGGTAAAGTAAAATAGTTTAGCTTTAGTTTGTGAGCTTGGTTCCCAGAAATCGCTACCATTGGTGGCGAGTAAACATTTGAACTGGTCCTGCGTCCACACACCCTGCAGTGTTGCTCTGCGCTAGAAACGTCGATATCGTTTTTCCGTGCCACTGCCCGCCGTGTTTCATGTGCGCGGGTTTTATTTCTTTTTTTAGATGCAAGGAGCGAGTTTGCAAACGGGCGGTTTGTTCAGTATCCTTTATTTCACTCAGGTGCAAGCCAATTGGGAACAAGCGTTTCCATTTCGGTGGAGACCTGGACCACAAAGCGATACAGGAAACGTGTAAATAAACAGTCACAGCCCCTTCTAACGTCACAAACTTGACACCGATATGAACATTAAAACCGCTGTACAGCTCTGCGATGTTGTTTATCGGGTTGTGCCGCGCATGGTTCCACGCCACGTCCGACGTTTTGTTGCCACGTGCTCGGAGCTTCTTAAAGAATCGAACTGAACTATTCCTGAATAAGCTCCCTGCACGGCAGAGCTGAAACGTCGGACGTCGACGCAGAACAACACGGGTGGCACGACCCCGAAAACGCGTCAGGGCGCCGTTATACAGTGAGCGTTAAGACGACGATTAACGACAAATAATGGAGTATCAACTAAACAATACTGGAACGCAGTATAGACTTGTTATTTGAATATAATTCAACCTAGTTGTGCAATAGGGTACAGTTGAGCATTTAACAGTCATAGTGCGCATGCACACGAATCTAATTTGAAAATCGAAATCTGGCAGGTAAGGAATTGCTATTTATCATAAGAGATACATAATTAGCTGCTGTTTATCCTGTGGGTGTAATGCCAATTTCATGTGCACCCTCCACCACCCGACAGCGCCAATGAAATCAGTCGGGTTACGGATGCTACAGCTGAGAATTGGCATTATACAGTGAGGGAAAAAAGTATTTGATCCCCTGCTGATTTTGTACGTTTGCCCACTGACAAAGAAATGATCAGTCTATAATTGTAATGGTAGGTTTATTTTAACAGTGAGAGACAGAATAACAACAACAAAATCCAGAAAAACGCATGTCAAAAATGTTATAAATTGATTTGCATTTTAATGAGGGAAATAAGTATTTAACCCCTCTGCAAAACATGACTTAGTACTTGGTGGCAAAAACCTTGTTGGCTATCACAGAGGTCAGACGTTTCTTGTAGTTGGCCACCAGGTTTGCACACATCTCAGGAGGGATTTTGTCCCACTCCTCTGCAGATCTTCTCCACGTCATTAAGGTTTCGAGGCTGACGTTTGGCAACTCAAACCTTCAGCTCCCTCCACAGATTTTCTATGGGATTAAGGTCTGGAGACTGGCTAGGCCACTCCAGGACCTTAATGTGCTTCTTCTTGAGCCACTGTTTTGTTGCCTTGGCCGTGTGTTTTGGATCATTGTCAAGCTGGAATACCCATCCACGACCCATTTTCAATGCCCTGGCTGAGGCAAGGAGGTTCTCACTCAAGATTTGACGGTACATGGCCCCATCCATCGTCCCTTTGATGCGGTGAAGTTGTCCTGTCCCCTTAGCAGAAAAACACCCCCAAAGCATAATGTTTCCACCTCCATGTTTGACAGTTGACAGTGGGGATGGTGTTTTTGCGGTCATAGGCAGCATTTCTCCTCCTCCAAACACGGCGAGTTGAGTTGATGCCAAAGATCTCCATTTTGGTCTCATCTGACCACAATACTTTCACCCAGTGGTCCTCTGAATCATTCAGATGTTCATTGGCAAACTTCAGACGGGCATGTATATGTGCTTTCTTGAGCAGGGGGACCTTGCGGGCGCTGCAGGATTTCAGTCCTTCACGGCGTAGTGTTACCAACTGTTTTCTTGGTGACTATGGTCCCAGCTGCCTTGAGATCATTGACAAGATCCTCCCGTGTAGTTCTGGGCTGATTCCTCACCGTTCTCATGATCATTGCAACTCCACGAGGTGAGATCTTGCATGGAGCCCCAGGCCGAGGGAGATTGACAGTTCTTTTGTGTTTCTTCCGTTTGCAAATAATCGCACCAACTGTTGTCACCTTCTCACCAAGCTGCTTGGCGATGGTCTTGTAGCCCATTCCAGCCTTGTATAGGTCTACAATCTTGTCCCTGACATCCTTGGAGAGCTCTTTGGTCTTGGCCATGGTGGAGAGTTTGGAATCTGATTGATTGCTTCTGTGAACAGGTGTCTTTTATACAGGTAACGAGCTGAGATTAGGAGCACACTCTTAAAGGGAGCACACTCTTAAAGGGAGCACACTCTTAAAGGGAGTGCTCCTAATCTCAGCTTGTTACCTGTATAAAAGACACCTGGGAGCCAGAAATCTTTCTGATTGAGAGGGGATCAAATACTTATTTCCCTCATTAAAATGCAAAACAATTTATAACATTTTTGACATGCGTTTTTTTGGATGTTTTTGTTGTTATTCTGTCTCTCACTGTTCAAATAAACCTACCATTAAAATTACAGACTGATCATTTCTTTGTCAGTGGGCAAACGTACAAAATTAGCAGGGGACCAAATACTTTTTTCCCTCACTATAACCACACGACGATCGAAGCCAACAGCAGCTAGTTGTGAGTCAGAACATTGGTTGCGAAAGCCTTCGTATAAACTTAACCGGAAGAGAGGTGCAATGTTACGTCGCGTGTGAGACGCAGCTCTGCGGTGGTAAAAAAAAGTTTCTAATTTAGTGCGGTTACACTTGGGGCGTAATAACACGTACATTGTAAGTTACATTCAGCCACGTCAATAATTCAATGACACGCCAGTCAATTTTGATTACCTGGGGGGAGGGCATTGGACGGATAGGTCTGGATAAAACTAAAACACAGATAATGCAACGTTTGTGTTAAATTCGGCGAATGAACGTATTGGCGGTACACCGGTGCGGGGTATGAAAAAAAAAGCTAATTTTTCACAATACTCATTTTTCTTTCCCCGTGATTTGCAACCCCGGTCACAAAATCTTGCGGGTCGTTCGTCAAAATCAGTTGTCGTGATGTCGAAACAGTCAGAAGATGAATGTTTATACGAGCGGCTGAGCACGACGCTTCACAGCCTGTTGACGTATAGCATCACCCAGCCTGATGACGATTGGCTGCTCCGTGTTCCAAGAGCAGATTTGACTCCTCGTGTCCTAGACTTGGTCGGGCGGTTACTCGATTCAACGAACCCAAATCAACGGTCAATGTTAACCTTTTTTAGCAAGTGTCAGTAGACCGAATAAACCTTCAAATCGCATAAAACTTGACGACATAAGTCTATTAAAGACTGATAACAGATTTGCTGATTCAATGTAGATTTTAGACTGTTTTATGAGGATCGATGTGTTGTGCTGCACCGGTGTAACGCCAATATGTCCGTATATTTAGTTTTCACCAACACATGGGCATGAAGATGGTGAGTGTGCCTCCTCGTTTCTCTCGCCGTTTGAAGCAATGGGCTTTGTGACCGCTAATGCGTCTGCAGTCACGTGGGCGACGTGTCACTGGGCCCGTGACTCGTGGGGGTGATACAGCGCGAGCGAGTGAGCACGCGCAAAGATATTTCACGGAACAATTTTCACAAGCAAGCACGGTTATAGCCCACAAACCCAGATGATTCCCCCCACCCTGACAATCGAGAGCTGACCTGATGTTGATGCTGGTATGACGTCGTCGGCGTTGCGTATCGATGCAACATTGTTGCGCGTAACATGCCGGTAGATTCTGCTTTTGTTTATTTGCCCGTGGCCTCCGGTTAACGGCTCGGTCGGTACACGGGGACGAGGGGGGGCTAAAATCTACTCCGAGCGCTGTTGGAGTGTGAGAGTGGTCGGATGGCTCGACGGTCAGAGGCAATGAACCCATCGCCACCTTGCGGTCTGAATCGATGTTTAAAATCGGGAGCTTGAAGCTCTGAACAGTGTTCCCATTCCACACTAATCTTGAGCAATTGCTTGTGTGAGGGTTTATCCCCTTCTGCCAAATTAAATAAATAAAACAACGAGGTGCGAGTACTTTGGTTAAACTTGGTTTTCATAGGTAAGTGGTCAATGGCACGCTCCGGCTCTGATACATTTGAAATCCATATCTGAAGGGCCATTGCCCGAAACGTTTAACAAAGCCCTTCAGATGAATCTACACAGCACGGTGTGTGTGGAAGTGCAGCTCTTGCAGTGTGAACAGGAGATCGCTTCAAGGGATCTCAGAAGTAGTTCTGTATTGTTACCTTCCATGTGTCGTGTGCTCCATCACGGGGTGGTTTTGCACTAAATCCCTGCTGCGCGAAATTGCCAAATGGACCCCCTTCATCTCATGACAGGATGGCGACGTCACAATTGTAATCAAGTTGGGGGGGGGGGGAAAGCACAACAATAAAACAATAAACAGATAAATATAAACCCTGCATTCATAATCCTTCAAACAGTTTGGACAAGATGGTTGCGTCACTTCAGCAAGTCAGATAAAAAAAAGATGTAAACTACAATCGCCGCTCACAATGTCGGTCCATTCTAGCTCCGGTTAGATGCTTGCAATCGCAATCACTACGCAATTGGTTTAATCCCGTCTTTTAATCCACTTTGAGCTTAGCACAGGGTGGCCCCTCTTAAACGGAACACGCGGATAAAGCCGCAGTGCGCCGTGTGCGGTTCTTATCGCCGCAGGGCCGCGTATTTAATCCTTGGGCCGTGGTGACGTAAACATTTGCATGCTGTTCAATATTTTAGCGGCGTAATATACATACGCACGTCCGTTGACCTACCACACCATTCATGGCCAACCGTGCTCATCGCAACGCGGAGTGCCGATGTGCGCCAAGGGGTGCCCTGTGGCATTTGTGATATTAGGACATCCGCTCAACATAATTCAAGCTGATTCATAATTGGGTTTTGTTTTTAATTGGGTTGGGTTGTGTAAAAAAATGTGTCATAAACCGTCCTCCACCCGACAGCCAATTTATAAAAAGTGTCACGTGAATCAAACGTGGACAAATTTATTACCGCTGCAGCACCACTGGTGTTGTTATTGTTGTTGGAGAGCGATGTCACAACATTTAAATAAAAGTAACTGAAGATTACATCCAACATCCTCAGGTTGTTAACAGGAGCTCAGATCTCGAGATCTCCTCAGATCTCGAGAGTAATAATCATTACACGCCAACTAACTTCAGCGAAGTGACTGAGCATCGTTAACAAAACTACCACATTCCTAGTTTGGCCACGAGAATCCAGGGTTCATAAATGCTGGGTGTCTCAAAGCATTTGCGGAAATCGGTATTTTAACAGAGAAAAAAAAAGTCTGGCCTAATGATCGACTCATGACATGTGGCAAAGGGTGGGCCAACCTGAGTAGTGGGCTGAGTTACACATCGGGTGGTCAATCAGTTTCAAAGACAATGCATATATTGCATTAATAACCTCTTGTTTTAACAGCTTTCTCGCTGGTTCAGCAGATCCACTGCTGGATTATTTTTTCCGCCTGAGGACGACCGCTTGTGTTGCGATCGAAACATCGTGATATTTTGTTTTTTCTACCTACGTGACTTTACTGAAAGAACCAAAGAGTATGGATTCCTGCAGTCACGAAAGCTTCAAATCAAGAATGCATATATTATCATAGCATATCTGTTTGCATGTTTTGCCACATGTACATGTGGTTAATGCAGACTTGACGCCTCGCAAAAGGTATCTATTTGGTATTGCCAGAAAGGCTAAAACATTCTCATTTTCATCAAGCAACACAAGCCGCTCATCGTGTGGGAGGGGCTAGCGACCGAGTGGACTTAGCTAATGGGGTGGGGGGGGCTACCGCATTGTCCCAGTCAAGCCTCTGTACAAATTTGGCAGCTTTAACCATGAAGCGTGTGACGTCAACTACCAACTGGCACATGTCGTCATCGTCGTCGTCACGCCCCACGAAACATTCAACACCTCTCGGCATACCGCTGCATCCCCCAACCTCCGCAGCGTTCTCAGACGACGTTCGTGATCACGTCCGCTCGTGACCCCTGCGACCCTCGCGACGCCGTTTATAAGCTTGTCCAATGCGACGAGGGCGACTTGGAGACAGTGTGGTTGAGCGCCCGAGCGAATCGTCCTACGAGCGACATGAACTCCCCGAAGTCCACCTCGCCGTCGCCGTTCTGGTCGAGGGCCGAGATGAATTCCTTCAGCTGCCTCTTGGTTTTCAGGCACTGAAAATAGCGCACGGAGGCAACATCACGGCAACATCACGCTTGAGTAGAGAGACAGCTGACGGCGACCGTTAGCAACAGTCATGGGGAAGAATGTCTCACGATTCTGGAAAATGGGATAGTACTCCATGTAAATACATTGTCTTGAGTAGTGGATTACTATGCAACTGAGAATTTGAATGTCTTGGGATGATGCGTAGACTTTCTTGGAGAGCTATGTTAAGGAGCAGACGATCCTGGGCAAACCAGAACAGGTGGCAACCTGATATTGGCATCGACGTTACAGAGACCGTTTATCTCATGCAGTCAACACATTTGTCAACAACACTGTGATCTTAAACGGAATTTTTTTTTACAGGAGTTTAACTAAAATATATTTGTTCCAGCTAACCGCAAGATATGGCCTATTACCTCATCCAATGTAGCATCTCACTCTACCCCTAACCCTCACCTATAACCCCTAAACCTAACCCATAACCCAGGGGTCCAAATAAGTAGGTGGAACACATGTTGTCTGGTGGGAACAAATATTCTATGGAGCCAATATTCATTCATTGGGGGAGAGTGGAGGTGCAGCAGTTAGCACACTGCCCTTTGAACCCGGCGACGTGAATTCATTAATCAGCCATGGCTAACATTGGTGGCAAGTGATACGTGAATCGGTCCCGGGCATCCACCTCCTTCACCAACCACGCACTGACCAGCTTCGTGAAGTATGGTCACGGAACCCCCACGACCAACGTGAAGGGCGAAGGCTTTCATCGGTGAATTGACAAAGGGATGTAAATTATCCAAATGTAAATGTGCAACCAATATTATCCATAATGGAAGTTCTTTTGAGGTTAGATCTCGTAAATATAAATGTGTTGTTAAACCCGCCACCACCCGACACAAGATTTGTCACATAAACAAAACGTGCCTCCTCTACCACGCTGCCCCAGGCGTCTTGGAAGAGGCGAGAGTTACCCACACTTTACCCCACCCCGCGTGACCCGCCCAGTGGGCCGGAGGAGATTCAAGAAACGTGCCCCGTCGTTTCATCTGCCCGCACCAGGAGATTGCACTAACAACTTTTGTATGGCTGCTGGATTATAAAAACAAAATCACAATAAATATTTTTAAAGTATCTTTTCCCCACAACGTTATCCCAATTTCGGTCGTGGGAGATGGAATCGAACCCGCGCCCTGCGGGGACCGCAAGCCCCAGCGCACCAGGGGCCATGTCCCGAACCGACGTTACCTCGTGCAGGGTCGGCATCTCAGTCTGCAGCAGGTTCTTGAACTCCTGTTTGTCGAGCTTGAAGGGGTCCCCCGAGCTTCCCGCGTGCTTGTGGAAAGCCTCCACCAGGCCGTAGAGAGCCTCCTCAATCGCCGTGCTCGCCTTCAGCAAGATGCTGCTCGCCACGTACGCACATGCACGCGCGGATACAAAGATCGGTCAGAGTGCAGATGATGGGGATGGTTTCGTTTTATTTGTATGTTTTTGGGTGATTTGTTTACCTTTCTTGTACTTTGCTCTCCTGTCGTGTTTTGTATTGTTTGTTGTTGTAACGTTCTTACCCGCCCCTACTGAACATCCGTGAAAAAGATCTTCATAGCTCATAGGATTCCTCCAAGATAAATACATATTCTGAATCTGAATGATTTGGTGTTAGCCGCTGCATTGTGTTGTTCACAAAAATGGAAGGAACCGGAAATAGAGGAGGACCTAACAAGGAGTGGCTTGACGACGACAGACGAGATTGATGCCAGAAAGATGTGGCACTACCTGAGCATATTGGCACAAGGCAGAAGGTAGAAACAAATGAGAACGTGTGCAGTGGACACCTACGGGGCTGTCTACCCATGGATCGTGATCATGACGATGCTACGTTTGGCGGTGGTGGATGCGCGCGCAGGGCCTGCAATCCGGCATTGTGTTGGAGGCAAGTGAGGATGGTGGATTGGGACGAATGGAAAACGTCGCGAGGAGGAGCCGGACCCTGGCTCGCCAGCAGAATGCAGTCCAGAAAACTGTGGACTGTGTCGTCTGTCTCTTCTGTGTGGGATACAGCATTGCCCCTTCGCATGTGTGGGTTTTCTCCGGGTGCTGTAGTTTCTGTATAAGCACTCACGAATTGGCTGAAAGCATCTTGATATGTAGAGAACTGCAGAGCAGTTGTTTGGTGCCGGCTCACCACCTGGCAGCCTTCCAGCTTGGCCTGTGGTTCCTACTCAGCGACTGTGAGATGCGATTCGCATGAATGACGACGACTCTATATCAAACTAATCGTCAGGTAATAATTTTTCACTGGTCCACAAGTATGTGCGTAAGCCCCACATGCACATGAACTACACACACACAAGCCCCATACACATATGAGCCCCACACACACGATCCCCCCCACACACACACACGAGTCCCCCACACACACACGAGCACCACACACACACGAGCACCACACACACACACACGAGCACCACACACACACACACGAGCACCACACACACACACGAGTCCCACACACACACACACACACGAGTCCCCCACACACACGAGCACCACACACACACACACGAGTCCCCCCCACACACACGTGCACCACACACACACACACGAGTCCCCCACACACACACGAGCACCACACACACACACACGAGTCCCACACACACACACACACAAGTCCCCCCCACACACACACACGAGCACCACACACACACACACACGAGTCCCACACACACACGAGTCCCCTACACACACACGAGCACCACACACACACACGAGTCCCACACACACGAGTCCCCCACACACACACGAGCACCACACACACACACGAGCACCACACACACACACACACACGAGTCCCACACACACACACACACGAGTCCCCCACACACACACGAGCACCACACACACGAGTTCCCCACACACACACGAGCAGCACACACACACACACACACGAGTCCCCCACACACACACGAGCACCACACACACACGCGAGTCCCACACACACACACGAGTCCCCCCCACACACACACACGAGTCCCCCCCCCCACACACACACACACGAGCACCACACACACACACACACGAGTCCCCCACACACACACGGGCACCACACACACACACACACGAGTCCCACACACACACACACACGAGTCCCCCACACACACACACACGAGTCCCCCACACACACACACGAGTCCCCCACACACACACGAGCACCACACACACGAGCACCACACACACACGAGCACCACACACACACACGAGTCCCACACACACGAGACCCCCCCACACACACACCAGTCCCCCCCACACACACACGAGCACCACACACACGAGACCCCCCCCACACACACACACCAGTCCCCCCCACACACACACGAGCACCACACACACACACGATCCCCCCCACACACACGAGTCCCCCACACACACACACGAGCACCACACACACGAGCACCACACACACACACGAGTATCACACACACGAGACCCCCCCCCCCCCCACACACACACCAGTCCCCCCCCACACACACGAGCACCACACACACGATCACCACACACACACACACACTATTCTCACACACCACACGAGCACAACTCACACAACACGATCCCCCCCACAACACACACCGACCACACACACGAGCACCACACACACAAACACGATCGTCACACACACACAACGATCCCCCCCCCCAAAACACACACACACATCACCACACACACACGAGCAACCACCGCACACACACGAAGCACCCACACACACGATACCCCCCCCTCCCACACACACACGATCCCCCACACATACACACACCACACACAAGTCGCACACACACACAGCCGCAGCACACACACACACACCCCCTCACCCACACACACGACACCCCCCCCCTCCCCACACACACACGATCCCCCCACACACACACACACACGAGACCACACACACAACACGAGCACCACACACACCACACAGAGCAACACAACACACACGAGTCCCCCACAGCACACACACGAGTCCCTCACACACACACACGAGCACCAACACAACACACGAGCCGCACGCACACACACACACACGAGCCGCACGCACACACACACACACACGAGCCGCACGCACGCACACACACACGAGCCGCACGCACGCACACACACACGAGCACCACACACACACACGAGCACCACACACACACACACGAGCCGCACGCACGCACACACACACGAGCACCACACACACACACGAGCCGCACGCACGCACACACGAGCACCACACACACACACGAGCACCACACACACACACACGAGCACCACACACACGAGCCGCACGCACGCCTGGTTGCGGAGCAGCGCGCGGATGTAGGAGTCGTCGATGAGGATGGTGAACTTGTTGAGGAATGTCATATACTCGCTGAAGTCGATGGTGCCGTCTCCGTTGGCATCGAGCGACCTCATGAGGTTGTCCATGGCCTGCGGGGACTGGCAGTGCTGCCCACAGCAGCAGCAACAACAACAAACAGCAGCAGCAGCAACAACAAACAGCAGCAGCAGCACGCTTCACATGGCGTCCCTGTCGCGTGAACACCTCTCCTCCGTCCGGGGTTAAAAGGCGCAGTCCCGCAAATCGCTCGCTCGAGACCCTCTAACCACAGAGTATTTGGCCTACTCTTCCACGCTAGCCACCAGAAGATGGGGAAGCACCCACACTTTGCCCCACCACACGCGAACTAGCTTTATTTTGGTGATTTCGAAAACGTTTTGGTTTAGCCATATTTGTTTGTTGTAGTACAGAGTTAGACTGATAACTTTAATCTAAATTGTCTTATGGTTGTTATTGTTCGACTTGCATCCCACTGGGATTTTTGCACACAGCATTGATACACGGTGCTTTTTCTGGAAGACTTTGTTGTTTTTTCCTGGATTTTTCTGTTTGCGCGTATTCACTTTAATATGTTTCTTGTTCATGTTTTTGTTTGTTGCGGTTGCACCCGATTCAAGAGCTGAATGGCTCACAAATAAATGAAACTGAAACTGAGCTGCCAGATCGACGAGTAGACGGAAGCGATTGTGGTGGTTGGGGGGATAAGTTAGGAAACTTGCACCCTTATTTCACCTGCCACGCCCGGGAGATTGAACCAGCGACTTCTGCATCTGCTGGGAGGCCGCGGTGGGTCGGTCGGAGTGGAGGAGGGCGCTGCGATCCCCCGCACCGCTCACGTGTTCCATCGAGCGAGCGGTGGAACACAGAAAGAGTAATTCCTGCAGTCACGAACGTTTCAAATCTAGTTTGAACCACCTCTACGGGGAGGATTTCTACACAACTCACACTTAACTTCTAATTTAGCAATATTTGGAAGAACGTAATCAACCAGGCTATGCGTTAACTGCGTGTTATCCGACTATCTGTGTTGCATTGCATTACACTTCCAAATTTGACTAAGTTTGTTTTCTCAAACTTCTTATTTCTCTCTCTAAATGTTGGCATGCTTGTTTGTTTATAAGTCCCTTTTCTCTCCTCCGACCGCTACGAGGAATAGTTCCACACAACTCTCTCAATGACATGCTAATTTCTCTACCCCAACCCCCCTCTCTCTCTATTTAAGGCCTCAACAGAGAGGCGTTGTTTCTCTGTGTCTCTGAGTGTGTCTCTCTGCTTATGTGTCTGTCTGTGTGTCTCTGTGTCTGTGTTTTGTCTCTCTCTCAAGTTTAGCAATCTTTGGAAGAACGTAATCAACCAGGTAGGGTGTTGACCGGTGTGTTAGCCGATTCTCTGTGTTGTATTGCATTATATTTCTAGGATTAATGGGTTTGTTTTCTCATTCATTCTTACCTGATGGCGTTTGCTTGTGTTGCAATCGAAACGTCGTATTCTATTATTTCATTTAATTTCTTTCTACCTGACTTTACCGAAAGAACCAAAGAGCAATTACTGAGATTATTCAAAATAAGAGCTAACCACGAGAGGGATCCGCTTCCAGCGTCCGACACCGCTGTGGAAGGTGACGTCTGACAAGGCGTTATAAAACAACGACACATTTAATTTTCTATTTTACCAGTTGCGGCCCACTGAGCTATGTAGGTCTGTTTCAGAAGCGACATCGCCTCAAATGACAGCTCAACCAAGTGGCTTATCAAGTGGAAATTTCGAACAGCCAAACACTCTAAACGCGTGATATTGAATCTAAATGTAGAGGGGGGAAACCGGAGGACCACACTACCACAGGGAGAGAAAATCGCGCAAACTCCAAATATACAGGGGTCGGGATCCAATCCACGATCTCATGGACACCAGGCGAGGCAGACAACTCTCGCCACCGTGGCGCCCCTCGGCTAGCTGCATCATCCTGCAAGCCAGCCGAGTTGAAACACAAACGTCTGCGAGTTGGCCAGCTGCTGCTCTGTCGGACCGCTTGGCTTGCACTGAGCTACAGTCACGCACTGCCACGTCCCACATGCAGCGGAGTGGCAGCGGTAGGACTGCCTCGTGTGGACCTATCGGCAATACCCAGTGGGAGCGTGCTAATGCCAAATAGCGGCGGACCCAAAAGAGAGAGAGATCTGTGGAACTCCGCGTGATACACGGTCAACCTATGAATCGTGACCTTCGAAATTCGCATGAGCATGTTTTGCCTGGCACGTGTGATTTGGCCCTCACACGATGCTGTTGGATGGCTTAGGAGAGGGGTAAGGGCTTGCCCGTAAACATCTGGCAGTTCACCCGCATTGGTTCAAGCGAGCCTGACTCTGCGTATGAGATGAATGTCGAAAAACAAAGATCTCCCCCATCGTCTGAACAGACTCTTGGGGCAAATGCTGTTAGCGAGCACATATGAAGGCCTGCACGCCCGACCGCCTTTGTCTCCCCAGTGGCGATGTTTACACACAGCACCAGCTACTCATTTGAGGCTGAGTCGACCTAGGGGAGGCCCAGGACTGGTTCAGATATTCGTCACTGGTGTTGGCCGCGAGTCTATGGGTCTCCGTGCGAGTCTATGGGTCTCCGTGCGAGTCTGTGGGTCTCCGTGCGAGTCTATGGGTCTCCGTCAGAGTCTGTGGGTCGACGTGTGAGTCTATGGGTCTCCGTCCGAGTCTGTGGGTCTCCGTGCGAGTATGTGGGTCTCCGTCAGAGTCTGTGGGTCTCCGTGCGAGCCTGTGGGTCTCCGTGCGAGTCTATGGGTCTCCGTGCGAGTCTATGGGTCTCCGTCAGAGTCTGTGGGTCGACGTGTGAGTCTATGGGTCTCCGTCCGAGTCTGTGGGTCTCCGTGCGAGTCTGTGGGTCTCCGTCAGAGTCTGTGGGTCTCCTTGTGAGTCTATGGGTCTCCGTGCGAGTCTGTGGGTCTCCGTCAGAGTCTGTGGGTCTCCGTGCGAGTCTGTGGGTCTCCGTGTGAGTGTGGGTAGACGTGTGAGTCTGTGGGTCTCCGTGCGAGTCTGTGGGTCTCCGTGCGAGTCTGTGGGTCTCCGTGTGAGTCTATGGGTCTCCGTGCGAGTCTGTGGGTCTCCGTCAGAGTCTGTGGGTCTCCGTGCGAGTCTGTGGGTCTCCATGGGAGTCTATGGGTCTCCGTGCGAGTCTATGGGTCTCCGTGCGAGTCTGTGGGTCTCCGTGCGAGTCTGTGGGTCTCCATCAGAGTCTGTGGGTCTCCGTATGAGTCTATGGGTCTCCGTGTGAGTGTGGGTAGACGTGTGAGTCTGTGGGTCTCCGTGCGAGTCTGTGGGTCTCCGTGCGAGTCTGTGGGTCTCCGTCAGAGTCTGTGGGTCTCCGTCTGAGTCTATGGGTCTCCGTGCGAGTCTGTGGGTCTACGTCAGAGTCTGTGGGTCTCTGTGCGAGTCTGTGGGTCTCCTTCAGAGTCTGTGGGTCTCCGTGTGAGTCTATGGGTCTCCGTGTGAGTGTGGGTAGACGTGTGAGTCTGTGGGTCCTCGTGCGAGTGTGTGGGTCTCTGTGCGAGGCCGGGTGCTCACCTGGGACATGGTGGGCAGCTCATGCCGAATGAGGGAGCGCAGCTCGGTGACGCTGAGCGACAGGTCATCCCCGTCCTCTCCGGCGTAGCGGTGGAACACCTCAATGAGGGATGAGACGGCCGTCTCCACCTTGCCCTTGCGGCTGGACGAGCGGTGGCCGTTCATGGCCGCGGTTTTACGCGGGGGGGGGGGGGGGCACAAGGGGGCCCCGCACAAACAGAACCTTCCGCCCACACTCGTGCGTGACAATAATAATGAGTCACGATGATGATAGTGCTGCTGCTGGCAATGTCTGTAATTGCAAAAACACCGAGAGAATTGGACACTACTGCTTCGAGATGTATGGACCGTTCAGTATGAGCGTTCCTGGGAAAAAAAACCCCACGTCTAATGTGGGACGAACACTAACAATACATGAGAGTGACAATGCACTTTATTTAAAAACGTTTCATCAATAAATACATTTAACAAGAATGTCGTGCATTTAACACGTGGCCTTTATTTTAGCCGAGAAACTCTCTCCGAGTCTTATTTGCACTTTTTCAGGACTGGCAGGTCAACAACCTCCTTGCTGCATGACCACCCCACTAACGCCTGCGGCTCTTATCGCCTCCGCAAAAAACGAACGGTGGCGGTCCAAGGGAAGACACCGCGGGGGTAGCGGCGCGGTTCGGCTTGACACGACCCCCTTGGCCTGTCAGTCCCCACCACACGGATCTTCCGCAATGCGACCGACCGCCTTTGCCCCAAAAAACCTCGAGACAGCACTGGCACCCAAATCGCGCGGAACCCTGGTAGGTGGGAGGCAACTCGTCTCTGGGAGCGTGCGTTGCCTGTCCGTCTGTCTGCCTGCCTGTCTGCGTTGCTTGTCTGTTTGTATGCGAGTCTGCCTGGGTGCGTGCACGATGACCGGTGGCTCCAGCTCAGTGAGATAAGAAACTCGCGGCGACTGATTTTATATGACTGACCGCGGTTCGCTGTGGATTTGTTTTTATTGTTTAAGCTTCTTGGTTTGCCCGACCCCCTCGCCCCCGTTGTGTGGCGAGGTAATCGCTTCGACTCAAATGCTCGGGAACAACGCCGCTATGAGGAACGCAACGGGGTCCGTGCAAGGTTGCAGGTTTTCGGCAGCTTAAGGGATTTGGAGAAAATGTAATTTGTAAACAAATCAAATGAATAAATAAATGCCACAAGCTTTAGTAGAAGTTGATGAAAAATTGGAGGGGAGGCTTGTGGCCCATAGGTCAGAACAATGAGTGCACGGTTATGTAATTTCCTCGCTAGGGTTATGGCACCAACAGCAACGAGCGGAATAATAATGTTTAAATAACGTTTAAATAACGTTTAAATAACGTACACTGATAATGTGCAAGCAGCTCCCAGGAAGACTTGTCCACCATCGCAAAACGGTCGCCTAAGAGAGCGCGGTAACAACCTTGTGAGCGACACGGCGACCCGGGTGATGCGGTGGGTGCAGTGGTTTACCGCACCAAATTCAATTTGTGGCCACGGCCAGCATCGGTGGCGAGTGATATCCGAACGCAGGATCTACCTGGTTTGGTTGCAGCGCGGTGCAGTACGAGTTCAAACGACCCCCGTAGATGACAGGGAGTAAGGGAGGGCCTTTACATCCAGCAGTGGATTGAGAAAGGGGCTGCCAGTTATAATTGTAATTCAACGGTGGCTCTCTCTCTCTCCGATGCACTTTCAGGGTCGCGCCGCCACCGTGCCTTGTTCGGGAATTACGTCCGACGTTTTGCGCCACGTGCTTGTTCAGGCAGTGAAATTTTTCAACATAAACAACACACCCAATCTTCGTTTTTGTTTCATTGGTTTTGGAAACTTTATTCAGATTTCGCAAATTACGACACACGACGAGGTGGGGGGGGGGGGGTAATACACAAACGGGGTTAGGAGAACCATATCATCATCGTCACACAGTGCACGCACGTCCAGAACGAGGGAAAGGGGGGGGAGTAGGCAACACAATCCAAGGACGGAGTGATGGCTTTGTTCATAACCAGTACGGCGGTAGTTAATTACACATCGGCAGCGCAGCTTTCCCTCCGACGTCGTTCTCGGGTCGTACCGCGCCTGGTCTGGAGGACGAGCGACCCTCGCAACTGCCGCGCGAGGGTTCGACCCGGGGTGGCGGGGCTGCTCCAACGACAGGAAGCGTCGGTTGCCGGAGTGGAGAGAGAGCGGAGGGGAGTACAGAGAGAGATGAGAGAGATGAGAGGGCGGAGATAGCAGAGTGCGTGGAGGGGAGTAGAGAGAGAGATGAAGGCGGAGGTCAGAGAATGCGTAGGTGTGAGTAGAGTGACAAGAGTAGAGAGGTAGGGGAGTGGCGGATTGGAAGGAGTAGTGCAGAGATCAGAGGCGAATGCTAAGGGAGCATGTGAAGAGGAGTAGCATGAGATGTGAGGCAGGAGAGTGAATGGAGAGTAGAGGGAGATGAGGGGGGAGAGGGGTAGGGGAGTAGAGATAGCATGGAGAGGGGATAAGAGAGGTAGGCAAGGGTAACTTCGTGTCCCGTATCGGACACAGCGCTGAACGCCGCACGGAACGACGCGACGCAACATCGAAGGGCGCTGCAGCGGAACCGCGAAAACCCTACGCAGTAGCATCAGCAATACGTGTCAGTTGAGAAGCATCTAAGGTAGTAGACATCATATATATACTCGTTGCCTGTGCGTGTATACTGCAGTCATATATATATATATATATGTGTGCGTGTATTTATATAGATTTTATCTTGTTTCACGAATCAAAACACTTGTGCACGGCTGCACAAAAAAATGTCACGACGGCGTTTCCTGAATATTTAAGAATTACGTTCTCCAACAGAGGAGTTTGATTCATTTTGTGCACACACACAGCTCTCTACGACCACAATGTTTAAGCTACGTAACGTCTTGCCATTCACATATGTTATTACGTGATATATTTTTGAAAGGGGTTTCGGGGGGGACGGGAGGGGGGATAGCGGGGCAGGGTGGGGAGGGCATCACATTCTTGGCAGTGTACATCTAGCGAGAGTCATATTTACACGACACATAGTAGTATAGTTTCGCACTCACTGGTTGCACATTTAAGCTGGAATTCTACAATAAATAGCTCGTCACTTCCACGAAAAGTTATTCCACATTCATGTCAATAGAAGTTATATAGAGAATCACACTATACAGAGACATTTTTTTTATCCAGAGTTTTTTGTTTTGTGTACGTGCTCACGTGGGGGTGGGAAAAAATGACAGCGACGCCTCCACGAACACGCCCAACGGACTCGGGAACAAGGCGACGACACCGGTGGGACACGGTGCTCGCTCCACGCTCCCCACGCTCGCCCCAGTCCCACGGAACGGCGCGTTCCCCGAAGCTACCACCCACCCATCGATCAGTGGCGTTTGTTTGCAAAGATAACAACAACAAGAAATAAGCCACGCGCGTATGCACATACGTACGTACGTAACCAACCGTGCTAAGCGGAGGTGCGGGGAAGGACAACAAAATACACAAAGACAAAGATCCCCCCGTGTAGCCTTAACAGACTGTTTGGGGAAAGTGCTGTTAGCGAGCACCTATGAAGGCCAGCACAGCACACGAGGGGGTGGGTGGCCAGCACCACGCCCGGCCGCCTTTGTCTCCCTAGTGGCGATGTTTACACACCGCACCAGGTACTCATTTGAGGCTGAGTCGACCTAGGGGAGGCCCAGGACCGGTACAGGTACTCGTCACCAGTGTTGGCCGTGAGCGGGAATTTATCTCGGCTCACCGGGTTCGTCGCGCGGCGCGCTAACCGCTACACTACCGCTCCCCCATACACACACACCCACAAGTCGTATAATAATGCCAATTACATAACCGGGAAAACCGACCCACCAAGAGTCAAGCAGCAATGGACACAGTGGCCGCTCTCCCGCCCCACCCCCCGTCACTTTCAGCGTCTTGTCGCAGAATGCACTTTTGAAATAGAAAAAAAATCCAATCATTATCATGATGTATCATGATGATGATCATGCCAATTATTTACCCAGGAAAGCCTTATTGAGACTGTTTTTTCAGGGTCGATGGCAGGGTCTTGTGTCACAAACCGCAGTCTTGCCTATATGACAAAACAACAAAACGTAAGAACCCCCTGCGAAACACATGCACAAAATCGGGACGCCCGACATCGCCAGCAGACACGGTCGCGGCGACCGTGGATGGAAACTGCATCGACATATTAGCAACGCCTCCGGTCAACGTTGCTCTGACTGCCATGTGACAAACGCGATACGACTCTCGGCGGTGGCAGGGCGGCTGGGGAAAGCGCTGTCCTGGACTCTCCATGGAGGCGAATTCACGTGAAGGGATCTCAGAGGTAGCTCTGTGGTATCCGCTTTCGTGGGCCGTCCTCTAGCACGGGTGGCACGCACTGCTCTGCGAGAGATCCGAACGGTGACTTAGTCTCGTGGTACGACAAAGACAGCGCAATCGGGATAACGTTTAGGAGACAGTTTTTTTCTGCAATGCCTTCGGATGTTCATCTCTCCGCTGCTCTTAAACCTCTTTGTGGGGACACAGCAAGGTGGCCGGTTCGTGGGTCCACGTTGAGGAGGCTACAGCTTCCAGCTCGGATGCTCAGGTGAGGACGTGTGCAGGTGGATTCCCTGCGCTGGCAGTGGCTTCATCACCCGTGCTCGAGACTCACATTCGAGAGGGATACTCGCACAGAAGATCTGGAGACTCGCGTGGAGACCCGGCTACTCTCACAGAAGTTCACTTTGAGAACCAAAGAATCTCAAGGAGACGCTCAGACTCACATAGAGACTCCACTCAGAAACCGCAATGTGATGGTCATGCCTTCATCGGCACTCTTTCCAGCAGATGGGGTGCACTCGGCCCACACAACGTCCCAACTGCACACGTGACCTGTGTTTCCAATTATCGATCAGTCCAATAGACTTAAAGCAGAGAATGACACGGGGATCCCAGCATCGGTGCACCATTACCAAGTCCACACACATCGCCCGTGTTCCAATTATCAATCAGTCCACCTGCACGCGTTCATCAACTGAGACGAGGACTCTACGGAGGCCATAAGCGCAGACCAGGTACTCGCAGACCAGGTACTCGCAGACCAGGTATTCAACTTTTCGCTACCACCTGGGGTGGCATCGCTTCAGCAGTTTCATTTTCTTCACATGGTCAATGTCAGTGAATTATGTCGTAATCATTTGAGGTGAGTTCTCAAGTAATTCATTCGTAATGCACGTAGAAATAAACCGCTACTGCTTACGTTTTGTTTATCTAAGGTAGTGCCTATGTCTGCTCTAATCCATGGACTAAAAGCCTCCTCAACACGGAACCATGAAGACCCACTGGTGTACGACAAAAATTTGAAGAAGAAACACAAAGACAAAAATCCCCCGTATAGCCTTAACAGACTTTTGGGCAAGTGCTGTTAGCCAGCACCTATGAAGGCTGGCACGGCACACGAGGGGCCGGGTGGCCAGCACCACACCCGGCCGACTTTGTCTCCCCAGTGGCAATGTCTGACCACCGCACCAGGAACTCATTTGAGGCCGAGTCGACCTTGTCGAGGCCCTGGACCGGTTCAGATAACCATCACTGGTGTTGGCCGTGAGCGGGAATCGAAATCTGGTCGCCGGGTTCGTAGCGCAGCGCGCTAACCGCTGCGCCACCGCATCCCAACACACAAGACGCGCGCGCCCACACACACAGAAACACAGGGGGTGTTAATACCCATTGAGCACAGAGACAAAATACACTGAACACAAGCCAGGAAAGTGCTACGTAATGAACATTTCAGTACCTAGGATACGATTGTAGCCGGCGACGAGTAAGACGCGTATCGATTCACCCCTCCAGCCACGATCCGTTGAAACTGTTAGGACTTTTTTGGGGAAAGGGACGGGGGGGGGAGGGGTGACGATTCCGATTCAAGAATCGATTCTCTTTGGTCTAATTTGTCTGATTCAATTTAAAGACGTCTGTCTCAATTGGCCTTTGTAAACGCCTGGTTTGAATTGCTGGAATTAAAGTGTTCCGTCTGGATCGTTCTGCCTCGTTCACCCCGCTAGCCTCGAGGTAGCCTTTCACTCCCGAGTTAGTACGTCGCCATCATCATCGCCGTCTGTCCCTTCCATCACCTCATTAGCTACAGTGGTGGGACGAGCTATAGCTGGTGCTCTCCGTTAACTAGTATCGCCGCTTCTCTCTTCCTTCCTACATTAGGAAGCCGCTGGAGCTAAGCACTTTTAAATCATCTATATTGAAAACTAATTTAGTTTCAGCTGCTTTTTGTGTTCAGTTTGTTGTCTTTCCCCTGCCACCCCTGGCGGCTGCTCCATCGTTACTCCTCAACATCGGGTCCGAGTCCGACCGGGCAGCGCGTCCTTCCCAAGCGCAACAGTTGTATTGATGTCATTAACCAGCAGACGGTGCTCTCCAAATCCATTCCTATGCCTCTCAGCGTAAACTCCCGGCAAGCGTCTCTCTCTGCGCTTCTGTGTGCGCCGGCGAGCGCCAGCTGGAATCACCGACATTCCCATTTGCACTGCATTTGAAAATGTCATTTTATAACATTTGTCCTTACCCATGTATTGATCGTTCGAATTTTAATGTGCAATTTTATTGAGGAACTGTGTGTTGTCTTGGTGTGGTCTGTGACTGTTTTTTCTGCTGTTCTGCCTTGCCCAAGCTTGGGAATCGGTGCGCTTATGCAATTTGAACTCATATACTTGATCTATTTTACGTATTTACTCTTGGTAATTGGCTTTCCTTTCCTATACTTTGCACTCCGATCGTTTTCCCCCTGTTTACTGTTTATTTGCTGTAACGTTCTGAACCCCACGCCACCACCCGTACTGGACATCTGTGAGAAAGAGCCACGCAGCTCATCAGATTTTTGCCAGAGCCTACAGAACGACATCTCGGATTGCATGCCGTCGGGACGGACACCGCGGACGGACAACGGCGCGCAACACGCGCCGCTGTCCATCGCGCCGTGCCCACGGGATGAGCGCAGGAAGGGCGGCTCACGCTTTTCACGGCTGGTGACGCAAACACAACCATACACCCCCCCCCCCCCCCGTCAAGGCGGACTGCGACGGAATCACCAATCTCGCTGATATTGGCCAATCAAATAAAGGGGGGGGGGGTGTCTCACGACTACTCAATCCACTATATCGCGAGGACATTTTCTAGATGGCTGCCCAATCGACTTTAAGCAACTGCCGCATCCACCGAGGTGAATCGATACAAATGAAACCTCGATTCATGGTCCACAATGACCATGAATATGGACAAAGACACTCTCCTTTGGCTCGACTACTTTCGTCACATATATGAGGGGGGAGGGGAGAATCTCTGGTCGGAGATTTCGTCGGGTGTCCGATTTCATTGTTCTATTCCAGTACCGGACGATAGCCGCCCCCCCCCCCCCCCATCGATGGGAGATGCAGTCCTTCACGATGTTCCAACTCTTGATTTCATCATCAGATTAAAATATCACCATGGCCAAAGTGGGTTGATGCCACAGACCCTGCGGTTCACCCCCTCCCGTGATGACGGCAGCGAAAGTGAACGCGTAAGCAGGGCCGCCCGTAGGGGGTGGAAGGGGCAGTGCGGTATTACATCTGGCACCGTGACATCGAAGCGCATCGGGGGGCCTCCCAAATCGCGGGACCCGGGGCGGTCACCCCCGATTCGCCGTGTACCACTAGGGGCAGCTCTGGGTATAAGTGACGTTCGGAATCACTGGGCAGAGAACAGGACTCCTTCTTTAATTGACGATTACCAAACGCATCGTTATCACATACAACATCATCTCTGGCACACGTTGCCTTTGTGCTCCAATTATAAACGAGTCCATGCCGCACATGTCATCATCTGGGACCAGGAAACCCGAGCCTGACTTTGTAGCCTCTTCAACCTGTAGTGACAACACTGGACGCGTAAACAGTCCAGCTGAACCATCGACAACAATCTACGGTTATCCTCCAAGAATAAACTTTGCAAAACATTTTTGCCAACGTTCCCTCAAGGCTAACGGAACAAACGATATGGTACGCACGACGCAGAACACATGGGGGCGGACAATGCCAATGAGACCGTGCAAACTGGACAAAAACAATAACACAGCAATACCCCGGTTTACGTCGGAGATGCGTTCCTGAAAGGTGCGACCACGAATCGAAGCGATTTACAGGGTACGGTGGTGGAGGCGAAGGCTGAGAGGTGATGGATAACGAGAACAGACGTATGACGATGCTGTCAGTGACATGAGTGTGTGAGTTGAGGTGACGCAAATCATGCGGCGGTGTTAATAATAATGTCGTGACGTGTTTGTGAAATGTTTGTAAAAGGGGGAGACATAAATCGGGGTATTGCTGTAATCGATTCACAAATCGAAATCGCGACTCTCGAATCACGACAATTCCTCGTATCGCTTGTGGCGGTGCCGGACGGGGTGGGGGTGGTGGGGAGAGAGGGCGGGGGGGCAGGGGGAGTGAATTGTTGCACGTACGGCATGCCAGCGTTGCGCGTCACATCGCACATCGCCGGCATCAACGTCCCCCCCGTGGTGTAAACAGCTTACGTCAAACCGCTTCCATAACGCTTTCTGTAAACGGTGGGACGGAGAGGTGCGTGCAAAGAATCGAGTCGCGCTAACTATAATCCACGCAACGAGGTCATTTCTAGACGGCAAAGAGGCATGACCGTGTGACCGTAACATCATTGGTCCTACCATCATGCCTTGCATGCCACTTGACATGTGAGGCCACCAAGATTCAGTCGCGACCATCTAATTATTCATATTTAAAGACTGCGGCTGAACAATGTACATCGGCTTCACGCGTGTTAGGAGTCATCAGTACAACATAGCCATCATTGCCTACTGCCACCGTGTACTTCAGGGGCCACTTCACTAGGACAGGCCCTCTGTGACGGTTCACTGTGGGCACTGTTTGGTACCACCTCAGGGTAACAAAACCGAGTTGAACACGCAGTCGTAGGAGGAGGCTTTCGCGACAAATATTAACCATAAAAGGGTTTCTTGGGTTAGACCGCATAAATATAAATGTGAATAACCCAACCAATAATAGATATCCTTTGTAATTTATACGAGTATATTAACCCTCCCCCCCCTCTCTGGTCTTCGCACCTGCTTGGCTCATAAGTGACGTCATCACATTTATCCTCCATCTATTTAAGACCAAAACAGGAAGAGGATTTCTCCACAACTCTGGCTGTCGCCTGATGATGCTGCCCGTTGTTGTAATTACCGGCGAAACGTCACGGTACTCGAATTGTAAATGTTGTAGTGGGTTTACTCTCTAACACACTGGTGTGCTGAGCTAGTAACGAATTGCCACATTTATTTACGTGACAAACCTTACTGATTTTCTGTGTCGGGTGGTAGTGGGTCCAGGGGTACATTTATATTTAGGCTATCTAACCCAAATAAAAAACCTTTACTATGGATAATAAACCAATTTTTGACGCATATTCTGCTACTGTCAAGTGCCTCGTAGGCAGCCATTTGGCAGCGCTAGAGGGAGCACGCATCCACACCTGGAGGGGCACACATGTGTTTAATGCCAATTGCGCAGGGCGTCTAAAATCTTACATTAAGTCTTGACGTGGGGCGATTGTTTAATCTGTGCGTCCCAATACTTTACACAACAACAGTGTGCGACGAATTATATTACACTAAATGCGTCGCACATATTACTTTTATGTATACATTACACAACCTATGAGCGGCCATAAATTAACGTTTTCAAATAAATACATCGCTACGGGTGTCAGAAATGTACCTGAAAATTAGTATATATGTAAGTAAATTATTATATTATTAATGCAGAACAACTCAAGTGCAAGTCAACGTCCTGTGTTGACCTTGAGGCTGAGCCTTTCATTAATAATGAAATACAATCCATAATCCCGAAGTGCATCATTAATGAGAGTTCAACTGTTGAAAGTTAAAGTTCAGGAGATCACCTCTTACCCGTGGTGATGTGTGAGGGTGACGCATATCATGTAACGTGTTATCCACGAATTTACTGCACCGATCCATAAAAAAAACATGAACGATGGGAATAAAAGGGCTGCGGATAAATCTGAGTTCTAGCAGAACCGCGGGTGACTCGGTCACGGATATGAGGCGCTCTCTGCTATATTCCTAAATTAAAATGTAATGAAATTTGAAATAACCCAAGCCTGTGTAATGCCAGATATACACAACAAACATTACGTGTGTATATATATGTTAAACAAAATTAAGTTTGGTCCAGGGATAACCCACAAAGCACAAGGTCGTTTTGCACAAACGCAGACTGAGTCCATCCGTTACCACGGAACAATTAAAATTCTGCAACCCGAACGGTGTAACGAAAGTAGCTGACGAGAGACTGACCGATGGCTATCATCTGTGCGGGGTTCCAGAGCAACGGGCAAAACCGACGGGCAAAACCAACAGGCCAAGGGGCACACACACGAGTGGGTGGACACGTACCTATTGCAAATTGCGATCCATTTATAGACACCCCACTGATCGCTAACCACCATGGCCTTGTGTCGCGCGTGATTGGTCACAGGAGTTACCTGCGTGTTGGATTGGCCGAGGTGGAACAGTCATGTGGGCCCCCCGCGTTCACCTGACAATCGCGTGGGCCCCTCGTTAACCAGACATAACCCCCCCCCCCACCCCATGCATTGTTTCCAGTGGGCTCAATGTCCCAGACGACATGCGTACGCGACGAGCCTGCGAGATATCGATGACCTCGGTATACGCATCATCATCTTCATCGACTGTTGCGAACAATTCAGTGCGATGGAGATCGCTGGGAGGCATGTCAGAGGCTCCAAATTCAAACACGGTGTGTTGTTAACACACGGCTTCTCCATTATTCCAGCGGGGTGTCTAGAAATGGCTCGCCCTGTATGAGCCGTGTTCTCAATTCGCCACCATACGTTTTCAGGCATTCGATGAGACAGGAATGACAAAACCCATTGATGAAGTAAACAAATAAACGGCTGTACATACCTCTGTTCATCTCTGCGAAAAATAAACCAAATATTTCTCCAGAATTATGATGTTTCATTCGCTCCACCATGGTGACGCTGAATAATGCTACGTTTTTTTCACATTAATTCAAGCGCTGAGATTAAATAAATTCGAGAAAGAGAATTCATGCAATTTTAATAACCGTGCCTACGTTGTGCAATGTCTTATAATATTGATCTATTGTAGGAAGCGATAGAAAATAAATACAAGGATTCCGGAAATTATCAAAGGGATGTGGCAACTGTCATAACAGTATACTCCTCAAAGAATAGAAGATTTTTTTCTCTAAATACATTCTGGAAAACCACGTGCAATTTTATCAAGGTGAGTATTTACTATGAAAGGTGATCAAATGTTTGTTTCAATGTTAAGAGACAGATTTTCATGAAGACAACCAGCACATACTTTGAGACAGAGTGATCTGACCACAATTAACCTGCACCAATTATTTGTAACTTAAAAATGCCCACCATTGTGAAATTATGAACGAAAATCTTAAAAGCACTTGTGTACACACAAACAACATTTGCGAGGTATAACCCAAAACATTCACAAAAACCGTGGCACATTCTTAAATAACCACATTGTGTGTAAAATAAAGTCTGAATTTACTTTTTTTTTTACATCTGCCAAAATCATTATCATAGTGGTAACGCGATTGAAATGTTTTTGCTGCACCAAACACACGTTTGGAGGTTGATGGGGAGTTTAGCGTGCTCTTTGACCTTACATAAATTACGATGTGTTTATGAATTCGGCCATTGAACCCTGCAGTCATTTCCAATACAGGGCTGCGATCTTTACACACGGTTTGTGAACAATGTCCCCCCTGAGTTGTCTGGGTTTGGATCAGATCGATTTTTAAAACATCCAGCGACTGTAATCCGTCACCACACTGACACTTCTCACACACCTCGTCTACACACGGACGACGCTACATCGGACAGGTGGCTAAAAATGCAGTGCCCTTTGCCTAATAGTGGAGGGAAAAGCTGCTTCTGACTTGTTTATGTTGCTTCTTAAAATGTATTATTCATAACATGGTCATAATTTTTTTTACAGACATGCCTAAAATTAAAACCAGGGCAGGAAATGATCAGAGTTAAAAGTGTGTGTTTTTTTCTTAGTCACAACCAGAACTTGAAATATTAAATAAAGACAATTACACCATCACTCGTGATGTCTGTCAATGGCCTAAAGAACATAAAGTATATATAAATAGAATCTAACTCATAAAACTGATTGAAAATTATACTTCGAGGTCCATGAGGTAAATTTGTTGACGAAAGCAAGGAAGAAACGAAAGTTATAAATACGTCGTCTGTACGACATGCGTTATAACGTGACACTCAACCACCTTTGCTTTCCGACGGAAGAAAGAAAACATCATAATCCGCGAGCCAAGTATTTCCTCCGGCAGTTGGGCCCAGTGGAAAATCCCTGAACCCGACAGGGGCGGCCTATCACCACGTCCGCCAAAAAAAAAAATTCAACAAAAACCCGTCGCCCGATTGCAGATCTCTTACAATCGGGCGACACTCAACTGAAAGGCGCTTGCTCGTTCGAAAACATGCTCACACCGTTTGCACTGAAAGCAACCTCTGGTTATGAACCACTCTTAATTTCCTGCCCCCGCGGTACGAAATCTGGAGAGCGTGCGGTTGGGCGACATCACATCTGGTTGACGTAGGAGGTGGGGCTAGTCTGGCCATATCCGGCCGACTGCCCGTACCCACCTCCTCCTGCCCCGCCGCCGCCGGGCTGCTCGTATCCACCTTGCCCGTAGCCCGAGTCCTGCCCGTAGCTGACGGCGTCGCTGCTGCCGCCGCCGACACCGCCGCCCAGGCCAGGTTTGGCAGCTGCAGGCGGAATGGCGCCGGGTCCCGCAGCGGCCATGGGCCCGCTGGTTCCGGCGGCCGGCTGCCCGCCCGCCGACCAACCCGTCTCCTTGAACACGAACCAGATGTTGCCAGCCCACAGCACGAAGTTCAGGTAGCCGAAGACCTGAGAGCAGACGCGACGTGGCGGTTAGGAGCTCGAGCGTCAGACCATACGGCCAAGGATTTTTTTGATAACTATTTCTATACCATTTTTTTTTTACTCGCTACAACTGCCGAGCACACATCCAAAGGCCCAAAAACGCCCAGTGGCCAGCAACAAACAACGCTGTTGAACGTGTAATGGATAAGAGAGAACACGTTTCTCGACTTAAGCTAGATTTGAGTGTGGGAAAAAGAGACGACAGGAGGGAATTACAAAGTGTAGAAGTGCATTGAAGGAGCAGCAAGGGAAGTGTTGTGACCTGTAGTGTGGTGAGTGGGTGAGTGGGTAAGTGAGTGAATTGCTGTGACTTGTAGTGTGGTGAGTGAGTGGGTAGGTGGGTGAGTGAGTGAGTAATTGTAACCTGCAGTGTGGCGAGTGAGTGGGTGAGTGAGAAGTTCAACAAACATACATACATACAAGTTCATGGGAACAGTAACCATGGAATTAGGGATAGAAGAGTGTTAATGAGGTGGCCAACCACCCGTGAGTAAATTCTAAGAATGAGGTTCCAAATGGCAGGTGCTTGTGAGTAACGCTGACATTAAATTGTGCAACGTTCCAGTGTGTAAATATTTCAAAACATCGTAAATTAAACAGCACAATTGTGTTCTTTCATTGTTTTGCAACAGTTTCACACTGATGTGCCATTAAATTCAATGAGAAGCCCAGGTCTTTAATCCCTAACATGGTCAAGGCTGGGAGGCCTGAGCCTCACCCTCCGCTTTTGCCTGATTAACCCAGCCCTGGGAGCCCGGCAGAGAATCTAGGCGAGAATAGGCATGTGCTCGGCCTAAGAAAAATAAGCAACAACCCAGGCATTTTAGAGAAGTAAATACGATTTTTAAAAATATAAAGCGAGGAAAATTGTTAATGGGAATATGTTATTTTCTGTAACATTTTTGACATTAATCAAGTTTTGTTTACAAAAATAACTATCCCTGATTCATAATTGGCTTCTTTGGGTTAGGTCGTGTAAAAATGTGCGTCATAAGCCCTCCTCCACCCAATGCAATCAATTAATAACAGGGTCCTGAGAATCAGTAACAAGTAACAAAAGCAGGAACAAATTTGGCCACGTTTGATTCATGCGACCCTGTTATTAATTGGCTGTGTTGGGTGGAGGAGGGGTTTACGACCCAGATATTTTTTTACACAAGCTAACCCCAAAGTATCCAAATACAAATCACATTGAATCACTAAAGTCTACGCATAGAAATAATGATCTCTCTCATACATGCTTCGTGGATATGGAGCAATGGAGTCAGCTCGCGTGCAGAGGCGCTCCGTAGTGTGGCATTGTGGGACTGCGTGGGATGGTTTCGAGAGGCCCTTGTCCTCTCAGAGGTGTTTCCCCCTTCCCCTTTGCTTGCCACTCGGTCGTTTGTCTTGCCCACCGTTCTGATTTAATTCATTTTTTCACAAACAAGCTTACCTTTCCCCTAAATCATCACAGCATGCTTTCCCCCTTCACGGTTACCACCTGCCCAGCTTTAACCCAGAGAGTCCAGAAATTGCCATCTCTGTGTGTGGCAGGAATTTTTTTTATCGAGTTCTGATACCAAGTATCGTGTTGATTTTTATTTCGGCACGCAGTACTGCGGTCTCAATAGACCTATAGGTCCTTCGAGAAATACGTCGGGGTTTGGGCAAGCCACCGCTCAAACCGGCTCTGCGCTGCCCTGCCTCTCTGCAGCAGCATCCCGGCATTTTCGATCGCGAGCGTGGGGCAAGAGACGTCGACACTCACAACGGAGACGCTGAGGCCGGAGGTCACGGGGTCGAGGCCCTCCTTGCAGGTGGCGAGCGGCACGGCGGCCTGGCACGCGGCCACGAGGAAGATCACCTCCTCGGGGTCCGTGGCAGATTTCACGTCCGAGAGGCCCTTAGCCCAGGCAGAGGCACTCACCAGCCACAGGAAGGAGAACACGACAGTGGCGATGAAGTCCTGAGGGAAGAAACATCGGATAAGGAGATGGAATAGGGAAGGAAAGAGGTCGAGGCGGGGGGGGAGGGAGGAGGGGTTACTCACAGCATGAGCACGGTCATCATTGTCATCGTCGTCAATTGTCATAATCATTATCATACTCTACATCATCATCCTAACTGTCATTGGTCATCACTGCTGTAATCATCAACATCATGGTCATAGTTGCAGTCCTTGGATCACCATAATTGTCAACAGCAATGTCACTGCCATCATCATTGTCGTCATCACCACGAACAATCGTCATCAATCATCGTCATTGCCTTTATCAATCATCGAAAATCATCACCATTTGCACTGTTGTTGTCGTCTTGGTCATTATTATGCATGTAATCTTCATCACTGTCATGCTGTCATTGTCATCGTCGCATTCATCATCAATGTCGTTATCATCATCATTCATCATTGTAATTATCAATGATCAATATACATAATTCATGTCAGAGAAGTTCCACGATTTCGGACATACGTTTAGGACACAACTTTAAATTAAGGCTGATTTCTGGAATGAGTCATAGCCCCTTTGTCCCAGCACGTCCGACACCACAGTGCTATTTTATTTCTCATGCATATCAAGAAAGGTGGACACATTGTTTATTTACGACAACCCTAAATGATTGCCAACCCTAAATGATTGCCGTCCATTGGCCGTGCAAAACCCCACTTCACAATCGCACCGAGTGACCACCCGAAGATTTGAAGCGTCCGAGATGTACGTCCAATAGCGTGTCCAGCATCTGTTTATATGCCACACCAAACGGTTGTGCAGTTTGATCGTTTGCATTAGGCTAAGACTGATTGTGTATATGGCCTGCCGCATCTAAGTGGAATAGTGCAGGTCGTGGACAGACTCTCCGCAGTGCCCCCTTTGCGTGGGCATTACAAGATATTAAGTCCGGCGCTGGAAGGATTAGGGTGTGTTTTTGTGTTTGGCAGACGATCGAATGGGGACACGAAGACAGCCGCGCTGGACTTAGCGAGCAGCAGATGGGCATGCTGCGGTGTACAGCGCGAGTTTAAACCCCGGTCTTGCCAAGACAAGATAAAGCCTGGCGTCGCTCTCCGATGCGCGTTCGGGTTGTGCCGCGTGTTGTTCGATGCGACGTCCGACGTTTCACTCCTTGGGCTGGGAGCTTTTTTAGGCACTGAATGAAGCTGCTCACTTTCTCCTACAATTAAAATGCATTGCCGGCTGCTCATGGGTCCGCGGTCAATCACTCACAATCATGGGTCCACGGTTGTTCTCCGTGTACTTCTGCTGTAGGAAGATGTAGACAACGATGGCGGCGAGGGAGTAGAGGAACGCGAAGACGGCGACCGTGACGTAGAACTCGACCGACGAGGAGAAGTCGCCCGTCAGGTAGAGGCGCTCCACCTCCGCGCCTTTGCACGCCGGCACGTCAAAGAACACCTGGTGCAGGCTGGGAGGGATGGCAGAGACCGGGGCAGGGGACGAGACAAGGGGGGAGAGGGGCGAAGAGGAGAGGGAGGGAATGGTGAAGGGGTGAGGGGTGATGAGAGACAAGGGAGTAGCAGGAGCATGGAAGACGGAGCAGAGGAAGAAGATGGAATGGGAGGTAGAGAAGGAGAATAGGGGGGGATAAAATAAGAATGACAGGGAATATAGTGAAGATGGTAAATAAGAGGGAGGATAGGGAATAGAGGGAGGAAAGGGAATAGAGCCACGTGTATGTAATGGGTTAATGTTACCATACAATCACAAGAGGGCGCCACAATCGCATGTAACAAAAATAATAATATAGAGTGGATCATCGATTATCAAGACCGGATTTCCAAAAACGGTGGATAATCACTAATCATCATTATTTTGCATAACATTTTTATACGTGTGATGTATATGTTTTTAGTGTTTTAAATGTGTTTACTATATGAAATTGGCATGAATAAATATACAAATAGACACAAATAAATATCCCAATGTAAAAAAGTTACCGTATTTACAATCTCAAACACCCTGCATGGGGTGATGTATGTACTACTACTACGCTCTTGTTTCAACAACAACTTGATGTGTGACGATCACCGGACTGATGCGAATGCTGAATTACATGCACACTTTTCGCCGGATCGCAGTCTGTATATTTTCAGTTTTTATTGCTGTAGTTATTAGTCCTGAAACATGTATATACGTGCAGTATTTTCATTGTTCAAGGTGTATGTACGTAGTGTATAATGTGCTGTATATTATATTTGATGCTGAAATCAAGCAAAGCTGCTTTTACAGACACGATGCCAAAGGCTGCATTGGTTACAGCCTTTGGAGCGTTTTTTGGCGGTTTCGCCGGATCGGCCTGGGACCGCCGTAAAACGTTGGAAGCTGGATAACTGCGTGCCGAATAATCGATCATCACCTGTATACTTTTTGAATACAAACTCTTGACGTGATAATGGTGTGGCATATCGCTGCTTCCCCCTGAAAATAAACCTGCGGTATGCTCTTTTATTTCTTTGGAGTAGAAAACAATGCAAAATTCTTTTTCCAATGCAAAATGTTTTGGCGCATCCATGAATGACTCCTCTCAGGAGGAAGGTGGGCACTCAATTGTATTTAGGATATCGAGCAGCTCAGAGGTCAGAGCCGGCAACCCGTCGAGAACCTGGATTTGAATGTAATGCATTGCACACGAAAAAATATGCCCTGTAAGTGCAGATATGAGGCAAGTGATTTCAAAAGTAGCTCTGTGATATCTCCTTCAGTGGACCATCGTTAAAACACTGTGCAATGCAAGACACTAAAACGGATTGTTTCATCCCATGACATATGTAGGGGTGTTAGAGAGAGGGCCGTTATGTATGGCAGTCTATGGGAAACAAACACAGTGGGCGGGGCTACGTGTGTGCACAGGGAGATGCCCTCTGCGACGTCCGAGCCAGACACCCTGGGGGGGGCTGGTTTGGCGTTATGATCCCCCGGGGCCCCACCCCTCAAGGAGGGTTGGGTATAAAAGGGGACGTTATATGGGCTCGAGTTCAGTTATGTTATAGTTAACCAAGAAGGCTGAAGACGTCTTAGATAGAGCCCTGGACTCCCCTCGTTCGATGTCCTTATCAGGGCCGAACAGGACTGAGCCAGCGGCGTGGTCCCGAAAGCCAGAGCCGGTGCTCTTCTAAGAGCTGGTCTGGGACTCCGGGTACCGGCCCGACTTACCAGTGTCGGGCCAAGTAGCCTCCCCTAGCCCAGTAGTGGAGGACTGTGAGGCAGGCTAGGACTTAGCTAGGAAGTGTATCCTTAGCTAGTCGGGTGAGGGGGCCCGATACCCCCTCCAGTGCTGTATGTCACATACGAGCTGTGTTGAATAAATATCCGTGTGCCTCCACCTCGGCGTCAAGTGTCTTCACCGGTACTTCAACTGGTGTCAGAAGTAAAACTCGAACATGGACACACGGAAGACAGCGCGGACCAAAGTACCGCAAGAGGAAGATACTGCCGAGATCGTCGAGCCCGAGACGGCTACACAAGCCATGGTGCAGCCGGGGCCTGATGTCTCCTTACCGGGGCATCTGAGTCAAGAAGGACCACAGTCAGACGCGTTGCGGCTGGCTCACGGGAGGCTGGCGGAGCTGTTATATGCCGCTGCCGCCACGCTGGAGACCATCACGCGGCTGGGGGCCGGTGATTCAGCACGGGGCGAGGCGGGCCAACGACCAGGGCGCCTTCCCGCCATTTCGGAGCAGCCCGAGTTTGAATCTCCCGCCATCGACGCTGCAGCTGTTCGGGGCGTGGCCAGCCTACACATCCACTCCGGCATCGCCGTCGCTGAAGCCGCGACGTCATCACCACCGCGACAGGCGATCCCATCGGCCGCTCGTACCGACGCACAGCCGAGTGGAGGTGACATCCGCCCGCGGGAATCAACAACGACAGCTGCACTCCATCAGAGGCTGCCCCCGCTGAAAGAGTTCGTCGGCGCGGAGGGGGACTGGGCCGGGTTCCGCAGACGATTCCTCGCCCATCAAGAGATGGCGAGGTGGACAGACGAGGAGGCTCTCTGCGCGCTGCCGGCGCTCCTCGACAGCGACGCGCTCGCAGCCCTCACATCGGCACCAAAAGAGAGGCGGGCGACGTTACCGATGGCGCTGCAGCTGCTGGGAGGGGTCTACGGACCATCGGCGGAATGCAGACAGGAGTTCTACGACCGCAAGCGGGGTGAAAAGGAGTCGCCCCTGGCGTACCGAACGAGCCTCCTGGCGATGGCCAAGTCGGCCTTCCCCCGTATGGATGACGACGGCATCGACGCTATGGTGACGGAGAAAATACTCCTCCTGGCTGACGACCTTGACATCGCTGTGGTCGCGCAGGAGGATGCAGAGATGACGTCGCTCCAGGCGGCAAGGCTCCTCCACGCCAACCTCCTGTCGCTCCGACGAAAAGCCAGCAGGGCGTCGGCGGGGCGTGCGGTGGCTGCAGCCACCCTTCCGACGGAGGAACTCTACGCCGTCGACCACCGACGGCAACAGGCGACGAGTGCACGGCCGGGCCAGGACGGGTCGGGCCGTTCCGACCATTCGTCACCTCCGACGCCGCTCCTACGGTGTTTTAACTGCGGCGTCCGGGGCCACGTCGCCTCGGGGTGCCGCTCTCCTCGTCAGCGCGGGACGACACCTCACCGGGACGACGGGCCTCATCCCAAGCTCCACCATCAAAAACCGGCGAGTCGCGGCACCCCACACGTTTGGCCCACACACACACCCGTCACGCACTCAAACACCGCAACGAGAGGGGGGCCGGTATCACGCACCATCGCACCATCACGCACCACTCCGGGTACCCATATCGAACCCGGCCAGTGGTCCGTGCTGGCCGATCGTGTGGTAGCCGCATCGTCGGGGTCGTCGGCCGTTGTGGGGTATATCGACGGGGTTGAAGTGCGCATCCTGGTCGATACGGGAGCATCGGCGACTATTATTTCGGAATTGATTTATAATATTCTCCCTGTCCGGAGTCGTCCCTTGATGCCTGTTGACATACCATTCTATGCGGCTAACGGGGGCTCACTTGGCATCATCGGACAAATTCGTGCCCAAATTTGTATCGGGGAAATAAAATTGTCTGGGCCGATTTTTGTTTCTTCCTCGCTGGCGGTTCCGTGCCTGCTGGGGACGGACTTCCTGGCCAAAATGCCGATTGTAATTTTGATCGACCAGGGTTGTATAGAGCTTCCGTCGGGCAGACGCATGGCGTTTCTGCCATCACCGGTTGCGACTCGGACGGCGTTCGCGACGGTGCCGGCGTTCGTGGAGAGAACGGTACGCGTCCCTCCGGGGACGCAAATGTTGGTACCCTTGAAACTTCGGCGGCCCCTCGTTAAGGGTACTGGGGCACAAGGGGTACTGTTGGGACCGTCTAGGGCCGGGGTTAGTGGACCTGACTTACTTCCGGCCCAGACCATAGTGAGAGGGGATGGTGAACCCTTCATCGCGGTCCTAAATGTGGGCTCGCGGACGGTGGTGGTCCCACAGGGGACCGTGCTTGCTCACGCAACGCCGGTGCCGTGTGAGGAACCCGCCGTAAATCGCGTCAACACTGTCCCTGCGTCGCGACCGCATTCGGACAGCGATGAAGGGTGGTTCGAGGCGCTTTGTGCGGGATCGACGGACCTGTCCGATTCAGAGCGTCAACAACTTAAAACACTACTGCGAGAATTTTCCGACGTTTTTAGTCGAAATAAATATGATTTGGGTTGTACTCACTTGCTGCGTCACCATATTGACACGGGTGACAGCGCGCCAATTCGCCAAAATCCGTTTCGGTTGAGTCCCGCCGAAAAGGACCATGTCAAATCGGCTGTTGATGACATGTTGGCCGCAGACATCATTTCTCCTTCCACCAGCCCTTGGGGAGCGCCGATCGTCCTGGTTAAAAAGCAGGACGGTTCGTTGCGGTTTTGCGTTGACTTCCGGCGTCTTAACAAAATTTCGGTTGCCGACGCATACCCGCTCCCTCGGATGGATGAATCGCTTGACGCCTTGGCGGGAGCACGATTCTTTTCCACACTCGATTTACTTTCGGGATTCTGGCAGCTTCCTCTGGACGATGAGTCAAAGCCTAAAACTGCTTTCCGTACACCGCACGGCTTGTTTCAATTCAACCGGTTGCCGATGGGCTTACACTCAGCGCCGGCAACTTTCCAGCGTTTAATGGAATTGGTTTTGGCTGGACTGCAATGGGAGTCGTGCCTAATTTATTTGGATGACATTATCGTCTTTGGTAAAACTTTTGATGAACATCTCCAGAGGTTGCGGGCGGTTTTCCTAAAGATGCGGGCTGCTAATTTGAAATTCAAGCCCCAAAAATGCCATTTGTTGCGTGATTCGGTGCGTTATTTGGGGCACATCATGGGACGCTCAGGTATTGCTACCGATCCCGCCAAAACGCAGTGTGTCAGCTCCTGGCCGACTCCCACCTCGGTGGGAGAGGTCAGGAGTTTCATTGGGTTCGCGTCGTATTATCGACGGTTTGTTGCCGATTTTGCGACAATTGCTAAACCCCTGCACGCTTTAACATCTAAAGGGGTTCGGTTCCACTGGGGTCAAGAGGAGGAGGCTGCGTTCCGCTCCCTTCGGGACGCCCTGGTAAAAGCCCCTCCCTTGATTTACCCTGATTTTTCGAAGCCCTTTTTGCTCGACACCGATGCGAGCAACACGGGTATTGGGGGTGTGCTTTCCCAGGTGGTTGATGGCGTTGAACGGGTGGTCGCGTACGGTAGTCGGGTGTTGTCTCCTGCGGAGCAAAGATATTGTGTCACCCGTAGAGAACTGTTGGCAATTGTTTTTTTCATCCAACAGTATCGCCCATATCTGTACGGTCGGCATTTCACCGTCCGCACAGATCATGCGGCACTACAGTATGCCCTGCGAGTTCAACAACCATCGGGACAGTTGTCTCGATGGTTGGAGGTTCTCCAGGACTTTGATTTTGAGACCACCTACCATAAGGGCGTTCGCCATACCAACGCGGACGCTCTGTCACGCATGCCAACCACCTCGGAATGTGCATGCCTCCTGGGGTCGGGACGTTGCAGACCTTCAGGGGACGCATCGGTTCCGATCCTGGCAGCCACCGACGACGACAAACCACTGCCTGATAATTCGATCGAACAACAGGGAAGAGATTCCCTGTTGGGGTTGCCCGTCACTGAGTGGGGGCGCCTCCAAATGGAGGATACCTCCCTCCTAGGGTGGCGTCGTCGCGTCGGGGGTGCTGGGCGGGTGAAAGGTGATTCAGGTGCATGGGAAATGGTGCAGGGTCTGCTCATGCATTGGGACGGCAAATCACAGCGACATCGGCTGGTCGTCCCTTCTGAGTTGCGAGGCAAGGTGGTGTGGGCCGTGCATGAGCGCCTGTTACACCTGGGGACCCTAAAGACCCTTGCACTGATACAACTGGATTTTTTCTGGCCTGGTATGACAAGGGATGTTGGGGATCTATTGAGTTCATGCCCGCGGTGTGCGCAACGGAAACCGCCGGCACGGGAGTCTAACCCGCCTTTACAATCGATCAAGGTGTCCAGAATAAATGAGCTTGTCGCGCTGGACATCTTGGGCCCATTTCCCGCCACCCCCAGGGGCAATAGGTATTTGTTGACAGGGGTCGAGTATTTTACGCGCTGGCCCATGGCCTGGCCCCTTGCCAACCAGTCGGCAGCAGCCATCGTGGACGCCTTTGTTCAGGGATACGTCCTGGACAAAGGTGCTCCGGAACGGCTGCTGACCGACCAGGGCAAAAATTTTTCCAGCAAATTACTTAAACAAGTCTGTGACCTCTTAGGCACAAAGAAAATTCGGACCTCCCCGTATCACCCGCAGACTGACGGAATGGTCGAGCGCCTGCATCGCACCATTTCGTCAATGATGGCACAGCAGGTCTCAGATTCACAGACTGATTGGGACCTGCATATTCAGGGGGTCTTGGCGGCATACCGGCACCCCATGCAGCTACGGGATTTTCCCCCTTTTACCTTATGTACGGTCGCGAACCCGACCCGCCTGTTCGCGCCCAGCTGCAGATCCCCGACCCGCAAGGAAAAACTAAATTGGCTGACCACGTCAAATTTAATCTGGCTAAATTAACAGAGGCGCGGGATGCTGCGAGGTTGAACTCGGACCTCCGTCAAAAGGCGAACGAGCGCCTCAGGCTGGGTCGGGCGCATGTGATACAGTGGAAGCCGGGGGACAGAGCATGGTTGCACTGTCCCCAAGTGCCCCTGGCTACCTCCCCTAAGCTGGCGCGGCCGTGGCGGGGCCCTGTGGAAGTGGTCGAGGTCTTGCGACCACAGTGCGTGCGCATTCGATGGGGGAAGCGGCGATGGTTCGTGCACCCCTCTCGGTTGAAACCCTTCGTCGCGGTACACAAACCCACTTCACACATGCGTGGCCAGACGTGTGGGGGGTCGACCGACTCACTAGGTCCGTCTCCGCCGCGCTCACCTAATGCCTTGCCGGCCGTGCCACCTCCAGGTGCATCGAGACTGACGGGCTCACGCCCGACCATCCCTTCTGGGGATACCAACGGTCACGCGGCATCAGAGGAGGTCTCACTCCGGGACGGACGATTACCACCTGACGGTCCGCCACCCGGGGTTTCCCCGTGTGAGGGGCCCGCCGCAAGGACACGCGCAAAAATGCGCAGACTGTTGTGAGACCGCAAGATGTGTATATATGTTGTGTTCGTTGTGTGTTGTGTGGGGGGGTGTGTTCCCTGCCCATTGAATTTACATACGTTGTGCTCACCTGCTGTTGTGTGTATGGTGGCTTCCCTGCAAATTGTATATAGCTTGTTTCTTACGGAATTCGTATTTATTCAAGGGGGGGTGCGTCGGGTTGTTTTCTCTTCTTGCTGTGCATTGGTGTTCTTGTTGCCGTTCTTGTTATTGTTGAAAATTAGTGAGGCACACGCGCGGTTACGGTAAAAATTCATTTTTATTGTCATTCTGTATGTTGGCAGCCGGGACGGCTGCAAGCTATGCGGGGGGGGGTGATGTAGGGGTGTTAGAGAGAGGGCCGTTATGTATGGCAGTCTATGGGAAACAAACACAGTGGGCGGGGCTACGTGTGTGCACAGGGAGATGCCCTCTGCGACGTCCGAGCCAGACACCCTGGGGGGGGCTGGTTTGGCGTTATGATCCCCCGGGGCCCCACCCCTCAAGGAGGGTTGGGTATAAAAGGGGACGTTATATGGGCTCGAGTTCAGTTATGTTATAGTTAACCAAGAAGGCTGAAGACGTCTTAGATAGAGCCCTGGACTCCCCTCGTTCGATGTCCTTATCAGGGCCGAACAGGACTGAGCCAGCGGCGTGGTCCCGAAAGCCAGAGCCGGTGCTCTTCTAAGAGCTGGTCTGGGACTCCGGGTACCGGCCCGACTTACCAGTGTCGGGCCAAGTAGCCTCCCCTAGCCCAGTAGTGGAGGACTGTGAGGCAGGCTAGGACTTAGCTAGGATGTGTATCCTTAGCTAGTCGGGTGAGGGGGCCGATACCCCCTCCAGTGCTGTATGTCACATACGAGCTGTGTTGAATAAATATCCGTGTGCCTCCACCTCGGCGTCAAGTGTCTTCACCGGTACTTCACATACAATACCAAGAGCAGAATTGAGATAAAACTTAGAAGAAACAAAAAAACATTACGGGGAAAAAATTAAATTCAATTGAAATTTGTATCATCGCTGAGACCACTGAGAGCCGATATTTAATTTACATGTCTGTGTTCTGACAGGCGATTGCTTTTGAAATGGAGGAATGGGATTTGGGATTTAATCCGTTTTGATAGAGAACGCCTTGTTTGCTAGCTTCATAACATTTGCTACTGAAATTTTAAACTATGAACATTGCCCATGTACCGATAGTTCGATGGGTGTCACGGTGATGAGATGCTAACTACCTTGCCTGATGCCTGTATATATGGAGTTTGCTTTGTTTCTCTCGCCAGTGGTCATGTGGACTTTGGTTTTTCCCTCCACATTTAGAAACGTGCGTTTAGATTATTTGTCTGCTATACATTTCCACATGATAAGCCACTTCATTGAGCTATCATTTGTGGCCAGGTTGCTTCTGAAAAAGAGTATATATAGCCCAGTGGGCCTTACCTGTGCGCTATAGTAGTACATTGTATCTCGCCAAACTTCATCGTCATGTTATTTATGGGGAAACTGTTTTTGCTTCAACGCGTTTTTAGCTTTTCAGCACTTTTCAGGAACACATCTACCGTGCTAAATGAGGACTTACTCTATAATATATTTGTTTCTGTGTGTATATTAATACATTATTGTATCATGCTGCTGCCATGGCTGCATTGGCCGTGCACAAGCACAATTAACATAAAAAACTCACATACATCAACAACACCGCGCCCTTAAGAGGAAAGAAAAACACGTGTCATGCTGTGAGGATGGGCCGTTGTCCAATGCATCATAATCAGAACCTTTGATTATCCTGGAGGAGGAACCCGATGAGCTATGAAGCTCTTTTTCACAGCTGTCCAGTAGGGGATACGGGGGTCAACGTCGCCTGTTATTTATTTTGAAGGCCACAGTGTTATGGATGAACAGAGTGGACGATGGTAGCCTGCACGCGCCTCCGCTCCTCTGTTCGGCGAGAAACCACGACCAGTGCCACCATCAGCCCGGCGACCGAACACCGATCAATGGCCTCCCGGGTCTCCAGAGCGAATACTCAACTCGCTGACGAATGCATTCAGGTCGTCCGTTCTGCATGTGTGTTCAAGTGCACGTGTCGCTGTGACCGTGGCGTTTTGTTAATTTCCACTACCGGAACGGGTAGGAGAACTTGATGATGACGTTGGGGTTGGCTTCGGAGCGATTCTTGCAGTTGACGGTGAGGCCCAGCTCCCCCGTGTAGCCGCTGCATGTGGCGAACGCGAATATGGAGAAGATCTACGGGGAGCGGAGAGAGGATGGGGGGGGCGAGCGTTAAAATCCATACCCACAGTGTAACCAAGCCGGGCTGTCGCGGTGGTGGTTGCTCACGTGGCCTCCATGGAGGAAGAGAGAGGGAGGGAGCCGAGGTGCCCATACCCTGGCTCACCAGTAGAATATGGAACAGCAAAGTGCAGATTGACATCATCTGTCCCTTCTGTATGGGAGAGCGTTGTCCCCTCGCATGCGTGGGTTTTCTCTGGGTGCTCCGGTTTCCTCTGACATGTTTAAATGCTCGTTCAATAGCAGAAAATATATTCATGTTAATGAGAGAACTGCAGACGTTTGGCGATTGTTGGTAGCACTGTTGGTTGCGTTGGTGCCACTCAGTGCCAGCTTTGTGGTACTTCAGCGAATGTGAGATGAAATTCGCATGAACGACGATGCTATACGAAACTCAAACTTTACTTTATTCATACTCTTTGGTTATTTCGGTAAAGTCAAATAAATAGGAAAATAAATAATAGATCACGACGATTCGATCTCAACAACAAGCAATCGTTGTCAGGCGAGAGAGATCTATTATTTATTTCCTACGTGACTTTACCGAAAGAACCAAAGAGGATGAATTCCTGCAGTCACGAAAGCTTCAAATCAAGATTTAACCACCTCTACGGGGAGGATTTCCACATAACTCAGACATAACTTTAACCGAGAAGATGGATTCAAAATTTAGCAATCTTTGGTAGGACGTGATCAACCAGGTAAAGTGTTAACTGTTGTGTTATCCGACTCTCTGAGTTGCATTACATTTCTAAATTGTGAAGTATGATATCTAAGCTTCATTTTCCTTTTTTCTCTCTCTCACCAAAGCCCTCTTTGATTTTCACCCCCACCCTCTCGTCCGTTACGGCCTCCCCTCCCCCTCTCGGATCTATATAATGCCTCGTTACAACGGCATGCTTTTTTCTCTCACCTGAAGACGATCGCTTGTTGTTGCGATTGAAACGTCATGATATATTATTTATTTTCCTATCTACGTGACTTTACCGAAAGAACCAAAGAGTATGAATTCCTGCAGTCACGAAACTTAAAATCAAGATTTTACTTTATTATTATAACCATTCACATTCCCCTAGAGATGATATCAATAGGATAACGTAAATAACAATTATTACAATTTCAACTTGTAACGCAGCACTGCAGTGTTCGCTGGTTCTTGAAGGCGGAGAACAACATCTGGAGCGTGAGGAGGAACCATGGTCGAGCGGGATAAGCAGCTCATGCGGTGTGGAGCCGGCGCCAACAATTTCCCAATCTCCGTGGTTCTCTAAGTTTGATCTCACTGGTGTTATCGGTCAATTAATGAGCACTTTACATGTTAGGAGGATGTAGAGATGGAACAGATGGAGACCACATTTTTGCTGCCTTCTCATGGCGAGCCGAGGTACGACACCCTCCTCGACGCCCACGGGAAGGGGAGATTCGCAACATCTGTGCGGTGACCCACCAACCCTCGCTGCTGCCTCCACACAGCATACGTATGTAGAACCCCTTTCGCACCGTACGCAGTCAACCGTGTTAATCGGAGGTGCGAATTTACAGATGCTGAATTGGAGGACATGTGCAGAGTGCAGCGTGCAGCGTAGCCAACCACCGCCACCCCTGGCTAACTACAATGCGAATCTTCTTGGTTCTTTCGGTAAAGTCACGTAGAAGGGAAATAATAAAATAATAACAATAAAACATAATAAAATACAATTCTCACGACGTTTCGGCCACAACGCAAGCAGCCGTTCTCAGGTGAAGAACAGGTCTGTCGGAAAGACAGCGTCTGAATGAACACCACCAAGCTTGGCAGCGTATATTTAATTCGAATGTTCCCTTCACGCTCACAAGGGCAATCCCCCAAGCGAGGCGACACCAACGAGAGAAAGTGTTTTTTTTTACGTAACCGCACATTCCTGGGAATTCTCACCACATCTTTGGAGGGGAGAGCAGGGTGTGAATTTGTGACCGTGTTCTTCCAATTGTAAACGAAACTATTTAAAATTTTACTAGGTAAGGCCCACTGAGCCATGTAGCTCTTTTTCATACGCGACCTGGCCACAAATGATAACTCAATGCAGTGGCTTATCACGTGGACATTTATAGCAGTAGCCAAATACTCTAAACGCACGTTTCTAAATGTGGAGGAGCAAACCGAAGGACCCAGAGAAAAATCCACATGACCACGGGGAGAACATGCAAACTCCAAATATACAGGCGGCAAGGTCGAGATCGAACCCATGACCTCCTGCATACGAGGTGAGGGAGTTAAGCATCTCGCCACCGTGGCGACCTTATAAGACACTCCAAGAAAGACGCACACCCCCACCCCTCTCCCCCCAATCTTTTCCCGGTGTCAATAAAGTTATACAAACATGGTCATGAAGATAAAGAGACTCTGTATAGTCTTTAACAGACTGCTGGGGCAGCAAGTGCTGTTAAGCGGCCACTTCATGAAGGCCGGCACGGCACACGTCGGGGATGTGGGTGGCCAGCACCACGCCTGGGTAGTTATTTAAGGCCGAGTCGACCTAGGGTAGGCCCGGGACAGTTAAGATTATTTCCCACTACAGGGATACTTCGCTAACCGCTGTGCCACTACTCTTCCCCCTCCACCATGTACAGCACACACCGACAGCATAATAAGACGAACTCCCCCACCCACACCCACCGCCCCCATCAAACTTTTGCATTAAATGACAGGCGACAAGAGAGGTTGCGCGTTGACGTGAGAGGCAGAAAGTCGACGCAGCATGCAGTGGCGTCGCTGGCCTATCGACTCACTCCGCCGCAAGCGACGAGCAGGAACGGGAAGGAGGGGGAAGTGGCGGGGGGCCGAGTGGCGTAAATCGACTTAAGTGAGGGGCAAGTTGAGCGTGAAAGCGGTCCGGGCCGCCCGTGGCGCTCTCCGATTCACCAAGCGATCCGTCGGGGTGGGGTGGGTGGAATGGATGTCTTGGATGTTTTGCCAAGGACAATTGGCTGGCTTTTAAGCACGGCGCAATGTCGGACCATCTGTCTGCGCCTGAGGGTGTGCGCGTGTGGGTCGGTGAGTGTGTGTGTGGGGAACCTCACATCAGTACATCGTGCGGTGTGTAGTAAACATCTCGCCACGGGGAGACAAAGTCGTCCGGGCGTGGTGCTGACCACCGACCCCTCGTGTGCCGTGCCGGCCTTCACAGGTGCTCGGTAACAGCACTTGGATCTTTGTGTGTTGTCTGCAGGGTGAGCAAGAAGTAGCGCTCCGTCTCCATCGTTGTGGTCGTCTCTCCGGGCCGCTAGGTGTCTCTCTCGGCTGTTCTCTTCGCCTGTGCAAGTTGCCGCTCTCCCGCCGAGCAGGGGGCTCACAGACCCCGAGACTGCAGTATTTTTGTCTCTCCGCATACCTTGCCGCTTCTGCGCATGTCACTCCCCATGAACGCACAATGGGTTTTTGTGTGTACGGCAATACGCCGATTTATGTCTCCCCCTTTTACATCATTTCGCAAATACGTCACTTTATTACGAACACCGCCACATGATTTGCGTTGCCCTCAACCCCCACGTCACTGACAGCATCGTCGTCCGTCCTCCTCTCTCGGTCTTCGCCTCCACCACCGTACCCTGTACATCGCTTCGATTGACACCGTTTCGATATTCGTCGTCGCACCTTTCAGAAACGCATCCCCGACCTAACCCGGGGTATTGCTGTACGTGTGTGTGCTGTTAAAATGTGGGGACCGGAAGTGTAGCGGTTAGCACGCTGCGCTACAAATCCAGTCAGCATATTTCGATTCCTGCTCACGGCCACCAACACCAGCGGCGATTATTTGAACCAGTGCTGGGCCTCCCCCTATGTTGACTCAACCTTCATCAAATACCTGCTATGATATATATAACATCATCACTAGGGAGACAAAGGCGGTCGGGTGTGGTGACTACCCATTCTCTTGTGTGCCATGCCAGCCTTCATAGGTGCTATTTGCTAACAGCACTTGCCCCAACAGTCTGTTAACGCGATACAGGGATCTTTGTCTTTCTGTGAGGCAGAACAGTGGTGGTGCATCTGCCATGGGACCTTGGCCTGCCTATCACGTGACCTGCCAGCAGTGAGCCTCCCACACTTGACCGGGACCTCAAGATGCACCTCGCCTAGCACAAATGCCATGGTGACATTACCGACCCTTAGTGGTGAATAACGGTTGTTGTAGTTGTTAAGCCACCGCATTTCATATTTATTGAACTATATATAATCTATCATCACGATCATCCACTGCTGGATGAAGGCTCGTCGCCATCCTTGATGGTCCAGTGCTGTGAGCTAACCATCCGCCTTCACCCCACCTCCACAGCGGCCGCCCTCCGGGATGTGTTCTCTCCTTATTTGCCCGCTGTTCCATCACCAGTCTCATCCACAGGCCTATGCATGGGGCCTATGCATTGGGCCCATACACTGAGCCCATACACAGGACCTATACAAGGGTCCAATACATGGGACCCACACACGATAACCATACACGGGGCCACACACGTAGTATGTAATAGGGAAACAGTATAATAAATTTGGGGCACAAACACCGATGTCTTTGAGAGGGACAAAAAATGGACTTTTAAGAACCTCATCGCATGCATGCATTTGAACTCTGTGAGGCTCTTCGAGTGTTTATGTGTCATGCAGAAGGGTCATTGCCCGACATGTCGCATGTAATATATTTTTTTTCCTGTAAGGCCACACAGTGTTCTTGATGAATGTGTTAAGTATCTTGGAGTAGAAGGTTCAAATCGAGAAGACATAGATATGCAATGGTTCCCCATAGCGACCCAACCAACTGGTCACAACTCACGGACGGAACTGATTCACAAAAAAAAATCTATCCTTTCTCACCACATTTTAACGTCCCGTTTATATAAGGTGTCTCTTCTATTTTTCGTCTCATTAGGAGTCCACTCGATTAGACTAAATGTAACAGTGACATTGTCACATATTGTTC